TCTTCTTTTTCCACTTTGATTCCACTTTCCATTTTTTCCCTATATGTATCTTGTGTGGGGGTTGAGGGTGAGAAATGTAAATTCTTAGTAGGTTGCAGGCTCTGGTTGAATGGAGCTGCAGTGTAAATTCCATAAGCGAATGCATTTGCTAATTTTTCGTCTACACGGGATATAAATTCCTTCAGCCATGGGAAGAACGGCACTAAGTAGTTAAATATACATGGCCCTGGGCAATTGCGTTCTTTTAAATTTTTCCTCCTCTTGCAGTTGGAGTTGGGCACATGTCTAACGAGTAGACCTTTGCACCACACTATTCATTCATTTTAACATCGTTATATTTGTGTGACTATATATTATATTCAAGGGAAATAATGTGATAAAACATAAATTAGTCTTTAAATTATATGAAATTTTATAAGATTTTTCAACAATCGTCTGCGTGTTTGGATTATTCTGTAACTTCAAAAAAATTCAGTTGAACAGTAATGTTATAAATAGTTACTTCTTCATTTGGTGCTTGGGAATGTGTGAAATTTAAACAGATTATAGTTAATAGTTACAAAATACTAATTATTGGCTATAGTTAATAGTTAATATAGTTAGTATTTATACAATTAACATATTTGATAATTCATCAATGACACGAAATATCATACTCAGTTTGTTAATTCACACGAGTCCCATATCGGTGAGGTTAGATATAGTGTTATCAGCGCGTGTGCTGCCGTTGAAGAAGCAACACGGGTTAGAATACGAACTCCACCTCGGAATTGCTTAGATTGATTTCTGCTCTATGCCAAATGTGGATGCATGCAACCTGCCTAGCATAATGCTTTAATCGTAAAAGGTATATATATTCAGCCTTTCAACTCTCAAATTGATTCGAATCCATTTCATTTGAACGTCAAGTTAATCTTCCTAAGAGAGAGACTTTAGGGATTATAAACTCGAAAACCTATTGTTTTCTTCTAATTTCTTTAGATAACTAATTGGAACTGAGAGTAATGCTGGGCTCGTGTTTTCTGGTGTCTAAGACACGTAACTCGTGATAAACACAACATCTAATTTGGATTCAGCAGAGTCTCAGATTTCCTCACTGCACGGTGAAGTAGAGGTTATGGTGTTGACACTTTGTGAAGGACAACAATTTGAATCTCATTGTCGTTGATGTTCCCTGCAATGAAATGGGATGTTCTTATGACTATGACAAAAGTTGACTCACAAGGACGTAAGAGGTTTTTCCTTCTAGCTGTATTGTAGATCCCTTCCGCATAGTAGTGTATATAAGTCCCACACCGATGAGATTATCTGAAGTAGTGGGTGGGATAGACTATAAAATAAAGGCAAGTAGGAAAGAGCAACATACTTACCTGGACGGGGTCAATGGGTGATCAACAAGGCCCATGGCCTAGGCTGGTGACCTCCATTGCACTTGGGAGGGGTGCTAGCCTAAGGTCTGTCCAAGAGACAGAGCCTACGTCATAATTTGTGGTAGTGGGGGCCTGCGTTCGCGCGGCCCCTTTCATCTAAGTTTAAATTTTTTTATCGTCCTTGTGCAGAGTTGATTTTAAATTGGTTCTTGGAGCTGTGGGTAAATGTTTAATTTAAAGGGCCTGTTTTCCTAATGCTTCATACGTTGGGCCGATTAATGTGTGTGGCCTTAAAGTATGTTCTTATTTTTTATTTCTTGTCATTGAATTACTATATAAGCCTTATATTTATTAAGCTGAATTGTGTTTAGCTTTATTTGCTTCTGTTTTGTGGTTGTCTGTATGTTTATATGATCTAAAGTATCAATTTGATTATTAAAGATTAAATGTTAGACTCAGAGAGATTGTAAAATTAATGATCTGATGAAAATGATAAAGTTAGGGAATGATAAAAGAAATCTAGAGCAGTGATTCCTTGTTTGCTGCATTGTTGGCTTGTTATATGTTGTTTCCGTTATGACTTCGATTTTAAATTTTCCTTGTGATTGTAATTTTCTCCTGTGGTTCTTGTGCACATCTCAAATGGGTTTCACTTTTTTTTTTTTGTATTTGATCATAAAATCAAACTAGTCTAATTAATCTTTTAAATATTTATTATTTATTATTTGAATAATTTTGATCACTGTTTATTCTTTTCCTTCGTTGTTAGTTGAGGTTTATATGACATTAAATAATATATGTATAATCAAGTTGGATGAAGATATCTCAGGTTGTAATATGTAACTAAATAGTATTATGAACATACGCAAAGTATTACCAATAGTTCCATTGTCGTCCAGCGGTTAGGATATCTGGCTTTCACCCAGGAGACCCGGGTTCGATTCCCGGCAATGGAAATTTTTGTCTTCTTATTCAATTTTCTATATTAACGTAATAAGTGATAAGTACTCATTTTAACATGTGCAGTCTAAAAATCCTTATTAAAAAAACCTTCTATGAAATACTTGTTTTATGTAACACCTTTTAGAAAGGTAAGATATAGTAACTTGAAATTTAGATTAGCGATTGTATTGATATACAAATACAAATTGTCACAATATAATTAACCGAGCACAAAATAAATCTTCTATCCTGAAAGAAAAAATGGAATCTTGTAGTTTTCAATATATCACTATTTTGCAATTATTACTTCAATTATGCACTGATGGACACATCTTTTGGCAGGAAGCATAAAACCTATGTGACTCGCTACAATTATGTTCCAAGGAAAGTTCATAAAATACATTGTTTGGAATGAGAATGGGAGGGAGAGGGGAGAACACATTTTTCAAAACAAATTTTCATTTGGTACATGTGAAAATGAGGAAAAGAAAAAGCTTTTTAATCCCGAATAAGCTTTTCTACAAATATTTTTAAGACCAAAAATAAATAAATAAATAAATAAATATATATATATATATATATA